GAAATGGGTTAGATCAATATGTAAGAGCTAGCCAATAATAGGCTGGAACTAATGGGTCGAACAGTGTTTAAAAGAATACAGTTTCCATGTAATTATTTCGGGTACAGCTAGCTGGCGGCCGGGAGCTGGGGCCGCAGGAAACTGCTGCTCCTATTACAACAGCATCCAACTACAGAACAACCTAGCTTTCTCTCAGAGAATGATAGAAAACCTGAAGATGTTTCGGTTTGTTTTATTTTAAATGTTTCAAGAGTGGTCTGTTGCCTATTTAGGCAGCATGGGACAGGTTTAGAGGACCAGGGGTAGATGTTGAGAGACCAGGTGACAGTAGGAGATGTGCTGAAATAATGCAAGCTAGACATGATTCGGGGTGTGCATGATTAATTGGGTGCATGTGAATCTTTTTTGAGAGTGGAACCTGTATGAATTAACCTCTTATTAAGAATAAGGCACAGATATCACCCACAGATTATATATAGTTGGCATTAGGAAAGGTCTGACAACACCGCTACACAGTAGGAGCACCTGCTGCTGGGCAGTGGTACTAAATATTAATAAAAGGCTCACTTAAATTGTGTAAGTCTGAAACATACATTACTTACTACTCAGAAGCAATAGATAGCAAACATTCGGAAGTCATAAAAACCTAGACTTGGCCAGACATGTCGCAAAGGGTTCTAACTGCTCTCAGAAGTTGCAACGCTAGGAACAAGATTTGTGTAACCAAACGACATCTCAAAATAAAAAAAAAATTAAGGAGCAAAAATAATAAACTAGACATAATCTAAACTGACACATACTAAAAACCAAGAGATATATTTCAAGGCTCAAGTTGCAAAGGTAGGCATGGTAGCATATGCCTAGCACCCAGCACTCACTCACTCATGTGACGGCTAGTATTCTCCTAACTGGACACAAACCAGAGTCATCTGAGAGGAGGGAACCTGAGCTGAAAGAAGGCCTCCATAAAACAGGCCTGAAAGCAAGCCTGTGGGGAAGTTTCTTGACTGAAGATCTATGTGGTAGGGCACAGGTCATTGTGGGTAGTGTTAGCCCTAAATAGGTCTTCCGGGGGTATATAAGAAGGCAGAAGAGCAGGCCACGAGGAGCAAGCCAGGAAACAGTACTTCTCCATGGCCTCTGCTTCAGCTTCTTTCTCCAGGTTCCCACCCTGCCTTGAGTTTCTGCTCTACTGTCTTTGAATAGACTATGGTGTGGGAATGTAAGCTGAAATAAACCCTTTCCCAAATTGCTTTTAGTCATGATTTTACCACAACAATGGAAACCTTAAGACAACTATGGAGACTGAGAAAGGATGATCTTGTGTTCATGATCTTGTGCTCAAAGCCAGTCTAGGTTATAGAGTGAGACTCTGTTTCAAGAGAAAAAAAATTCTCAAGTTGCTGAATAACTTCTACAGTAGAGGGGAAGCTGAGAGAGCTGATTTGAGAAAGAAGAAACACTTTTATATTACCTAATATATTTAGACATATTTAATTTTTGAACAAGTTATATCTGTATATTAACTGAAACAAGTCCTTCCATTCCCATCCCACCTTCTGCCTCATGGTTAAAGGCCCTGAGAGAGGTGAAAAGGAGAAGGCTGTATAACAGACAGTGAAAAAATTTCATGCTCCGATGCAGGCTTCAGTGGCATTTCCTATTTCTACTTCAAATGCTAACGACAGAACTGCAGCCCCATGCTCATCCTCTCATATAGTGCAATGGAAAACATCTGGACTGTGAGCCTGTAATTCCATACCTGTTAACTACACAGAACTTAGTATGAAGGGTACTGAAACAGAACCACAGCGCTGTAGCTCTGGCAGGTGACAATTCACACCAACCACACACTTGGGAGCAGTGGGCATCTGATGCAGGTAAACCTGCATCCTCCATGCACTACCTGGGCATCTTCCACATACTTAGTCCTTTTTCCCCGTCAATGCAGTGTCTTTGGAAATGACATTAAGTTTTAATTATCTCGAGACCAAAGGCTACTAGCAATTACCAAGGAGAAGAAGATGAGACTTATTAAACAAAGACTTGCTTTGCACAAATGGAGAATTTCAGAGAAGAAAAAAACCACGTGTGCACTCTAGAGAGGAAAGAGGAGTCTACAAAGATGGTTTGAGATATGGAACTTGGTCCAGGCTTCCAAAAATGACCCCAATATTAATTAATGAATTTAGTCCAAACCAGCAGATATATTTTAATTTCTGTTCTTTAATAGTCTTGGCACAATCTTCCCTTTTATCTAACTCTTGACTTCTTTCTTTTGAATTTTTATAGAGCAGCCTGGGCTACATGAGATTCTATCTCAAACAAAAAAAAATGAAAGAAAGGATATAATGTGGAAAGCCTGTTCTCTGAGTCTAGTATAAGGTTAAAAGTTTAAGATTTCACAATTCTACAAAAAATATTATTTTCAAAATCAGCCAGATTTCTAAAACTGAAAATTATATAGTTCCAAGATTTGACACTTAATGTGGACAGATATAGAAATCTGTCCTGCAGCTAAAATGGGATATAATAATAAGCACAGAGAAAGAGATGCAAATGAATAGTTATGCTGTCGACCACTTGTTCTCCAAAGCGGGACGTAAACTGCACTTAGTAGGATATTTTTCGGAAGCCGTAAGTGATGGCTTGGGAGGAGACCTTCATGACTGTTCTTCTAGCCTGTTGAGTGTGGCATTTGCTGTTAACTGCAAGAGCCTTCTGAGTACTCCACGACCTCTAAAGCTTTGTGGCAAACACTTTTAACAAATTAAAACTACATATTCTTTAAATTAAAAGGATTCTGAGGGCGTTAGAAAAACAGAAAGCCAAAGTCAACATGAAGCCCAAGTAACTACATCTTAGAGGAGGAGACAGCAACCTCCCAGCCAAAGAGCGAGTACTCTTGTCTGTTCTCGGTACCACCACTAAGGTCCACCTCCCAAGACAATGGATCATCGCATCCTGGGTACTTCCATACTTCATAAAATCCTATTCTTATCTTAGAAAAGACAAGCTCCTCGGGATTGAGCTATGAAAAATATTGCTCAAAAAAGAGAAAAAATTCATACAAAATTTAAAACTCTATCAATTTCCCTACACGAAACCATATGGTGTCCTAAGTTGATCCATTTTCTTTATTTATTTTGTAATTAACTACATAAATGCCTTGAGAAGCTTCAGGCATCGTTAGACAATCTGGAGACAACGAGAACTTTCTCCCTAAACTTCGGCTGACAAATTATTCCTCTAATAATGTATTGTTTTCTGACATTAATGTTGAAATGCCAAGGCATTCTGACAGATAACTATTTGAAAATTTGTATTCAAAGCTTTTAAATAGCATGAAATATCAGTTTGGAATCAAATGCTAAACAGAAGGGCAAGGGCAGCGGGAAGTAGGGAGAGTGTAATGGAGGTGCTGGTAACAACTCTGGCCTCGGTCCTGATATTGGCATATTAATGCTAGCAATGGGGTTCCCAGCACTACAGCAATTAGACTGGATACATTTTTCCCTAAATGAACAAAATCCTCCCTATTTGTGCTTATTCAGAACTCCACGTGTTAGAAATTGAGAAAAAAATATACAATGGAAAAATTACAAAAGACAATCCAAAAGTCAATGATCAAACATTAAGCTAAAGGAGAATTTCTGAGTTTCACTTTGAAAGCAAAGGAAAAGATGCTCTTTGCTAAGGGTTGGTGTGTTTACATGAATCACAAGGCCTCTTACTACTGCTACCGGACACCGCTTCAAACCCCTGTGTGCTGTCTATGGAGAACACACTCTGGAGTCACAGGCTTTGTATGGAAAGAAAGAACAGAAAATAACACATGGGTATTTTTCATACTGAGACTGAAACTGTATTATTTGGGATAAACTGGATTAAACAGAACTGCTAAATGTGCATTTCTGTGTCTCTTTTCACTTTGCACAGCTAGCAAGAAATTTAAGTTTAGATTAGGCAACAATAATACATAAATGGAATTGTAGTAAATTATTTTGTTTTTTTAAAAGATTCATTTCATGCTAGGCTCGTGAGGAGTGTGTGTGTGTGTGTGTGTGTGTGTGTGTGTGTGTGTGTATGCTCATGTGCCTGGAGAAGTCAAAAGAAGCATTGGATTCCCTAGAGCTAAAGTTAGCCACAGTTGTGAGCTGGCCAAGTAGGGTGTAGGGAATCAAACTCAGGTCCTCTGGAAGAGCAGCAAGCCTTCTTAACCACTAAGTCATCTCTCTCCTGTCCCTTAAATAGCTTTCAAAGTCTCTTCTAGTCTCAAGTCTGACACTAAGAAGGTGCATACCCCAGTTAGCAAGCCTTGGTTAAGTTACTTTACAGCAACCTTGCTCTCTTAGAGACTTTCTTTTTCACATGTACCTTCTCTCAGAACCTTCTCGTTCAGATTCCCTTAGCCCTTAGTGGACTAGAATGATTATGTGAGTTGACTTGTTTTATGTAAAGGGAAGTTCATACAAGGGTACGGGCATCATGGGCAGACGAGCTCCTAACTGCCTTCTCATCATATTCTTTTCATTCGGGGCTATGTTCTCTGTTCCCCCCTACTCTATTTGCAGAGTACCCATTCTCGTCCATCTGTGGTAACAATGAACTCTGATATTTGTTTTGATATATGTGAAACAGGAGTGAACGATAAAGGAACTTCATAAGTCTTATTATCTGAAGATCCCAAATATTCTGGCATTCCATGTTGTCTGCAAAACATCTGGAAAGTATTATTTTCCAGCCTTGGTATCCAGAGAGTCCGAATATGATGGTCTTTATGAGGCCTAAGGTCATGTACTTAAGAAACTGCCCAGGTCATTGGAAGGTTCAAACATGGTTTGGGGATCACATGTCTTGCCTAATTTCCTTTTGTACTGGGTGTAAAATGAATTGTCACTGTGGTAAGGTAAGGGGCCTCAGGCCTGCAGCTGGGATGCAGTGCTACCAGCCCCAGCCCACTATCAGGAAATGATGTTCTTTGAGCACACATTACTCACTCCTCCAGAGCCTCGGCCATCAGTATATCTTCTTTGTCAGTTTTAACATCCAACTCTGGTTCTCCACTAAGCAAAAGTTTCATGTTATAAATAATCAGCAAAGTTCCTGGAAGGAAAAAAAAATAGGAAATATTGACTTGTCAGTACTTCAAGTGCTCTAAATCCTAGGCATGTCTAATCACTTCATCTGTAGAATTCAGTCTACTCTAGAGCAAATTTCCTGTTTCGATTCAGCAAGATATGTTTGGATAAAATGCAAGCTCTGCCTTATGGAAAATTATACTCCTGTCTGTGTCTGCTGCATTTCCATAATATGCTGCTCTTAATACTATTCAATCCACTATCAGTCTTTCAAACTTTGGCAGACTTTTTATAATTTGCATTATGACAATTGCTAAGAGCCTGAGCCAAGGTTGTAATATAGGTGAAGCTCTCATTGGTGAAACTGAATCCAATGCATATGAGAAAAAAATTAGTTTAAAACATATCACTGAGTATTGCTTTTAGTTTATAGAGCAGGCGCTGACAAACTATTCTGAAAAAAAAAAAAGCCAATTGGTAAATAGTTTAGGCTTTGCAGAACATATTTCCGCTGTCATAGCTACTCAGAACTAATCTTGGTCACTATGACACAAAAACAGCTAGAGAGAAATGTGTGCAATTGTGTTCCAATAAAATTTTATTTATAAGTACAAAGCACAGGGAAAACCAAGTAGGCTGCCTGCAGATCTTCTCTTCTCCCTGTTTCCCTAGATCCACCCCCCCCCAGTCTCATCCCCATTCTGCAGCAGAACACCTATGGCCTTCCCTGCCGACTCCCCTCATTCCCATCTCCTGTAAATCCCACAGAGCTTCCCCTTCTAACCTAACCTCCTTCCACCCACTCATTGCTTTTTTTTTTTCAGCAGGCACCTCCAGCTATCCAGTGGCCAGTCCTGCCAGGGCATCAAGTAGGCTGACAGCAGATCTACATTTCTCCTTCTGCTCCTCCAGATGCCAGAGCCCCAGCTCTTTAACAGGACACCTGCGGTCGTCTCCCCTCCCTCTCTGGCCCCATCCCTAAGGGACCACACAGACCTTCTTCTCAAACCTCCCCCCCCCCTCGACCCCCAAGTCATCCCAGTATCCCAGCCTCCAACACTAGCAGCAAAACATTGGGAACAAACCAGCTGAGCAGGCCAGGGAAATAGACCCACAGAAAATATCCTACCAGGCAGCACACAGCCACTATACTCTCTTAAAGTCCAGGAAGGAAGCAGAAATCAAGGAACAAAACACACACCCAATAGAGACAAAATTAGATTCAGATATCAAAGACCAAACCTATAGTCATCCCAATCACAGATGCTAAGATGTCAGCATAAAAATACAAACAGCCAGGACAGTATGCCTCCACTGGAGCTCAGCTATCCTACCATAGCAGGCATGGATTACTCCAGCACAGCTGAAGCCCAAGCAAAAGACCTAAAACAGCCTGTAAAAGAGAACTTGATAAGTCCCTAAGGAAAACACCAACAAACGGTGTGAGGAAGTGGATAAATGCCATGAAGAAGTCCAGGAAAATATAAACAGTGCAAAGAAAGGAATAAAATTGTAAGACCTGAAGATGGAGGTGGATGAATGAATGAAAAAAATGAAAACTGCAGTAATTGTGGAAATGAAAAACTTGGGAACTCGAGGAGAACTACAGAGGCAAGCTTCACCATGATATGGAAGAAAGAATCTCGGGTGTTGAAGATATGATAGAAAACAATGGATACACTGGTCAAAGAAAATGTTAAATCTAAAAATTTCAAAACATCCAGGAAATCTGGGACACTATGAAAAGGCCAAATCTAAAAATAAGAGAAAGAAGAAAATTTTCCTAATTTGAGGGCATGCCTATAAAGGTACAAGAAACAAACAGAATACCTAATAGATTGGACCAGAAAAGAAATTACCCTGTCCACATTATAATCAAAACACTGAATGTACAGAGCAAAGGAAGAATATTAAAAGCTGCAAAGGAAAAAGATCAAGTAACACATAAAGACAAACCTATTAGAATTACATCAGACTTCTCAATAAAAACTCTAAAAGCCAGAAGGGCCTCGACAGACTTGTCACAGACTCTAAGAGACCACATTTGCCAGCCTAGACTACTATACACTACAAAACTCTCAATCACCATAGATGGAGAAAATAAAATATTTCACGATAAAACCAAAGTTAAGCAATATTTATCTACAAACCTAGTCCTACAAAAGGTGCTAGGAGGAAAGCTCTAACCTAAGGAGGTTAACTCCAACCATAAAAACATAGGGAAATAAATAATCCCAGACCATCAAAATCAAAAGAAAGGAAATACACACACAATTAACACCACTACCATCACCAACAATAACAACATTAAAATAACAGGAATCAACAATTATTAATATCTCTCAATACAAATGGTCTCAATTCCCCAATCAAAAGACACAGACTAACAGAATGGATGTGTAGAAAGGACACACTGCTTTTGCTTCATCCGATAATCATATCTCAACATCAAAAACAGACATTGCCTCAAGGAAGGAAAGGATGGAGGGAGAGAGGGAGGGAGGGAGGGAGGGAGGAAAGAATGAAGGAAGAAAGAAGCAGGATAGCTAAAACAGTCTTGAACAATAAAAGAACTCTGGGATGCTGGATGGTGGTGCACGCCTTTAATCCCAGCACTTAGGAGGCAGAGGCAGGTGAACCTGTGAGTTTGAGGCCAGCCTGGTCTACAGACCTAGTTCCAAAACAGCTAGGGCTGTTACATAGAGAAAAGCTGTCTTGAACAATCAAAGAGAGAGAGAGAGAGAGAGAGAGAGAGAGAGAGAGAAAAGAAATGTGGAAGGTCTCATCATTTCTTATTTCAAATTATACTACACAGCTATGCCAAAAAAAAAGCAGAATGAATGGAATCAAACTGAAGATCCAAACATAAAGCCATTACACACCTATGAACACCTGGTTTTTTGACAAAGAAGCTAGAAATATACACTGGAAAGAAGACAGCACCTTCAACAAATGGTCAAACAATAACAAAGAAGACCAATACAATGACTCCTAATGATATTCTTCTATACTCATAGGTTGGTACCTTACTCATCCATCATGAGAGAAGCTTCTTCCTGCAACTTCATACATCATGTCAAGTTTGGTCTGTGGCTACGACTTGCTCACTCCTGCTCCAAGGAATGGTTAACTAAAACTGTACAGTCTATTCACAAAACTAGTTACAATATGAAGACAAATGTGGTTTTTCAGAGAAATTAAAAAGGGAAACTAATTATACTTCCTTCGTTACAGAGAACAGCATATGGGCTAAGAACAAGAACTCTGCAGTCAAAATGAAAACTTCGTTGTCAAAATGCTCATATCTAAATACTGGATAGACTACTGAATAGTGTGGTCACCTCAGGTCTCTCACCTCTGTGTGGTTTCACATCTGCCCACGACCTGTACTCACACACAAAGACAGAAAAATGGGATGGGACAAGTTGGGAAGAAGGAAGCCCACAAGAGTATAAGGGTTATAAGAGGTTATGTGGGAATGAGGATGATCACAATACCGTGTGTACACATATGAAATTAACAAAACCATCATTTGTCTAACCAACTGAATGGACCTAGTAAGAATAACAAAATAAGCAAAAATAAAAACCACTATACTAATATTTATATGAGAACTTAATAATTAGAAGTCCTCTGAGAGATTAAATGGCCATTAATATATATAAATACTGCTTGTTTTCTTGCATTTGTAGAACATAGATTTAAAATTACACTTTTGTGTGCATATACAAGTATTTATGTATGTCGAGGGGCACAAGCTTAAGAAGGAAATCATGACAGGGGAGGAAGAGATCTTAAGGGAGAGGAGAAAACAGAAAGTGGAGTGAAGTCTAATAATAAAAAATTGTAAGAGGAGACTCACTCAGGGAAGGAAAGGGGCCGGAATGAGCAGGGAGGGGCCATGAAAGAGAGAAATGATGAGAAGCAGGCATAAAATACAACTGAAGATACCATAAAAGCCACTGCTTCAAGCCTAACCTAAAACAAAAAGATTATAATATTTATATTAATATATAAATAATAACTTAATTGCCACTGTTTTTCTTCTCAATGACAGAGGGAAAGAATCAACAACATCTTTCAACTACAAAGCCACAGGTTATAGAAGGTATCTCGGAGATAAAGCAGGCCAACTTGGAAATGAAATTACAAAAATCTTGCTTAAATATATAGTAATGGAAGCATTGCTGAGAGTAGGACACATACAGCTTCCTCTAAAGCAGACTTCTAAGTTTCGAGAGACAAAAATGGAGACTGTCTAGAGAAGACAGACTAACACAAGGAAATTCCTATAGCTAGTGTGGTCTAGATGCTAAAGACAATGGAGGCTGAAAGCAATGAGGAAAGGATCTGTCCATCTGGGAGAAGGGCGATGAAGCTCTGCTTCCCCCACACAAACATGAGGGCAATTATTGCATCTGATGCTAAGCTAACTTTTTTTTTTTCTGAGACAGGGTTTCTCTATACAGGGTTTTGGGGCTTGTCCTGAAACAAGCTCTTGTAGACCATGCTGGCCTCAAACTCACAGAGATCGACCTGCCTCTGCCTCCTGAGTGCTGGGATTAAAGATGTAAACCACCAGCGCCCGGCCCCTGCTGCTAACTCTTAACAATGTAGCAACACACAAACTAAGAACCTGCAATTGATGGCTAACTCTGCTATGAAGTACAAGGCTGAGGAGCCCTGCAGGCACAAACTTCAGCATCCTCTGCTCACTCAGAAGCTGAAGCCTGAACCTTTGGACTTGTGTCAAGGATTTACAGTAAGTCATATCTGGGTTCTCTTAAGATAAAACCCATATGGATAGAATGAACAGTTACCTTGTGTAAAACTATACCTGAGATCATTGATAGAAAAAAATACAAAAATAAATGCTTCCATTAAAATTTTACTTTTGCTGACTTACCACATCTCCCATAGATCATATCAAATTGTTCCATCAATTTAGCTTCGGTCTTGAATGGGGAGTATTTATAAATGATGGATAACTCTGTGAAGAACTTCTGGGGGTCCTCTGTGACACTCTCTCTTGTTCTTGTTGACCATGAAGGTATTGGAACTACGACCTGGTTTTGTACAACACAACCATTTGTTATGAAACACACACACACAAAGATTCCTTTGTTTGATCCCATTTCATTCTCTTCTTCTTCCAAATCACAAAACACCAAGTTAAAAGTTTATCTTTCTTCTGAAGCTTAGATTTACAAGGAAGAGACAAACAATGAATATGTATACTCAGAATTTTGTTTTTAAAGATTCCATTGTCAGGGCTGCTGCAACGGCTCAGTGCATATGAGCATTTGTCACCAAATGTTGAGTTCCATTTCTGGAATAACACACATGGTGGAGGAGAAGAACCAGTTCCCACAAGGTGTCCTCCGACCTCCACTCGCACACCATGGCACAAAAGGCCCTCTCTCTCTCTCTCTCTCTCTCTCTCTCTCTCTCACACACACACACACACACACACACACACATACACACACACTCTCTGACTCTGTGTGTATGTCTCTCTCTTTCTCTCTCACAACACACAAACACACTCACACACACACAGAAATAAAAATAAATGAAAATAAGAAGGGTTTCCCTCAATAAAACAGCTGGTTAGATTATAGCACTCACAGCTGCCAAGTCCCACCCACAATCTCAGAGCTTTCAATAGGTTGCCCTTTGAAGTGTTCAGCATGACTAGGCATAGAAACCCTTTGATATGACAGAGAACATAAAGTTCAGTGGACAGGGGTGGGGGCGGGGGGGGACTATCTGGGAGGAGCTTAGATGAGGGGAATGAATATGATTAAAATATATTGTGGGAAATTCTCACCGAATAAAACTTTTCAAAGCCTCTAGTATAACAAATAGAAACCAAGTTTTAAAAAAAAAAAATCTGTGGAAACAGAAGCCATTTGAGGAAGATAAAAACTTCAAGGAGAAAAAAAAACATTGTTAAAATCTTCAGAGTAAGGTAGGTAAATGTATGTAAACCCTTTACTCAGGAAGTAAAGGCAAGAGGGTCACAAGTTCAAACACAATCTTGGCAATTTAATGGGATCCTAAATTAAGATATTTTTTAAAATTTATGCCAAAGATGAACCCAGAGAGACAGACATGTTGTGTTCTCACTCATAAGTGGATGTTAGCCGTAAAATGAAGGGTAAGAATGCCACAATCCACAAACCCAGAGAGGCTAGGTAACAAGGAGGGCCCGGGGGCAGAGGATGCATGGAGCTCCCTGGGAAGGGGAAATAGAAGACCTCCCCTAGGTGAACTGAGAGGAGGTAGGGATGCGAACTTGAGGGACTGAAATGGATGGAAGGGGAGAGTACTGAGAGAGATGACTGGAAAGCAGGACATTTGGGGGTCAGATAGAAAGCCAGTGCAAGGGAAACTCCCACGATCTACAAGGATAACCCCAGCTAAGACTCCTAGGAATAGAGGATACACAGCCTGACATGTCCATGCCTTGTGATCAGATTGGTGACTACCCCAACTGTCATCAAAAAGCCTTTATCCAGCAACTGATGGAAACAGATGCAGAGACTCACTGCCAAACATTAGGCTGTGCTAAGAAAAACCTACTGAAGAGAGGAAAAAAGATTGTAGAAGCAAGAAGGGTCAAGAACATCACAAGAAAATCCATAGAATCAACTAATCTGGGCTAATAGGAGCTCCTAGAGTCTAAACTGACAACCAGGGAGTTTCTCTGGGACCAACTTAGGCCCTCTGCAGATATGTCACAGTTGTGTAACTTGGTCTACTTGTGGGACTCCTAACAATGGGAGCAGGACCATCCCTAACACTTTGACTGGCTCTTGGGAACCTAGTCTTCATATTGGATTGTCTTGCCCAGCCTAAGTACAAGGGGAGGTGCTTAGTCTTATCAAAACTTGATATGCCATGCTTTGTTGATACCCATGGGAGGCCTGCCCCTTTCTGAACAGAAAGAGAGGAGGAGTGGGTTGGGGGTGGGGTAGAGAGGAGGGAGAGGAATGAGAGGTGGGAAGAGAAACTGTGGCTGGAATATAAAGTAAACAAATCAATTAAATTTAAGAAAAATTAAGCTAAGGATATATCTCAATGATAGAGCATTTGCCTAAAATGTCTGAGGCCCTGGATTCATTTTCTAGTGTGTATAAAAATAAAAAATAACAAAAAATAATTCAAATGACATAAATACAATTTTTCAGCTATAATAGAAAATACTATGTCTTTGAAATAAAAAACTGCATCATTTTTTAAAAAAGAACCAATGAACAAATAAGAAACACTTCTTGGGAATTGAGAATATAACTGAGGGGAGGGGGGAATGACATAAACAAATTAGAAGATAAATATTGAGAACATCCCAGAAAACAAAGCAAAAATTGAAGATAGAAAATATGAGAGAAAAGTTAGTGGAAAATATATTTTTTAATTTACAAATCTACGTGTTGAAAACAGAAGCTGTAAAAGGAGACAAAAGAGAATATGAATTGAAAAAAACCACCACCCAGAAGTGAGACATATGGGTTTCCAGAAGGGAAAGATGCTACTGTGCCCATCACAATGGCTGCCAATAAACCACCCAGGGAATACTCTGACTTCACAACTAGGGATAAAGAAGGTTCTCTCAGTGGGAGGGAGAAAGAGAAAAAAGAATAATCGCATTTAAGACCACAGAACAAAGTTAAATGGCTTCAGATTTTTCAGTCAATGTACAAGAAAGGTGATGACAGAGCTAAGCCTTCCAAAACTTGAAGAAGGATGAGGTCTAGCTCAGAAAGGACACCAAGCCAAACTGTGACCAAGTGTGGAAGCAGGATTGAAAGATGTTTGTGCACAGAAAGTCTCAGTTGATTTCCAACTCAGGACTCAAGTAAAGAGCGAGCATGCTACACACACACACACACACACACACACACACACACACACACACGGGGGGGGGGGGAGATTAGGGTCTGAGAACATAGAAGGCTGAGCACATTACCAGTGACAGCAGTAAGCAAACACAACACTAAGTAATGTTCATTCTAGATAAGGCAAAGGTACATCAGAGAAAAGCAATCATGAAATAGTTGATGGCATACTCCAAGGTGATGTGGCGTGACCTTAGAATGTAAAGCCTGGACACGGGCACAGCCTGATTTTTGATAGAGAACTTTTGAGCTGTGTCTGTGTGCAAAAATAGAGGAAAGAAATTACGTAAGTCCTCTTGCACAGTGGAAGGTTCAGAGAGAATGCCTGAATATCCGCATGGCAGCAATACAGTGAGGCATCTTAAAGATCATCTGTAGGAAAAGAGCCAAAAAACCCACACATTTGGAAGAGGAACCCTCTGCGAATGTGCACATAGTAAATGATTGTGTGTGTGTGTGTGTGTAATGTCCTCTGTGTGTGTGGCGGGAAGGGGCCATTCAAGGTCCTCTTTGCCTAAAGGCTGTCGCTGTGGTTCAGAACCAATCCCTGCAGCAGGCTCACACTGACACGCTGTTCCGACCCCACACCCATCTCCACGGACCAGCCTGCCCAAATGCAAGTCATATTGTTTCCAAAAGTTCCCCACTGGCCACTCGAGGCTCTCCAATCTCTCCCGCCAATCTGCTGCTTTTTGCCAGTTTGCTATTAACAGCCACACATACTCATTGAGCAAGATTCTTTTACAACATGCCAGTTTTGTCATCTAACCAATTTCCACGTGTGTGACTACCTTGTGATGAGGCCGAAAATGTTTTAATGGTGACAGGGTCTTCAAGCTGTTGCGTTGGTATTTTTTTCCTTCCACGGAATCTAATCATTGCTGAGGGCCTAGTTGTTTGCCATATGCGTATGGTGCATTGAAGTACACTTGACATTCAAATAGAACTCGAGCCTTATAAATCAATAAGATGTTTGAAGTCCAGCTAAGGGAGCTTAAAATCTGTGGTCACCAGAATTGGAAATTTCAGTCTACTTTGCATCCAGTTACTTTATGGAATGTGTTCTAAGCCTTTGACCTCGACAGTCTATTTACTTACAAAGTGATAAACTGTGCACGACACAAATGGTGTCAAGGTCTCAGGAGGCATCCCCAAGAAATATTACCATGCCAAAGACAGATTCTTATTCCGGGAAATGTGGGCACAAGGAGCACAAAATTAAGTTCTCCAAAAAGCCCTCCAGTGACCCCAGAGTGCACAGACACCTTCTGTCCATTCCTCAAACATATGCCCAGATTTCTAAGTCATAATCTGCAAGAAGTTATAGCAGACATCGCCTCATGAGAGGGTAAATGGAAGCTGCACAGTTGCCATGGAAATGGAAAGAAAGTGCCATCTCTTACCTCAGTGAGACCTTCTTTTTCACAGAAAGTCTGAGAAAAGAACAGGCAGGTCATGGTCTCTTCCTTCTTTGTGAAAAGAATAAAGTCTTTGCCAATCCTCATGGACCCGCTGTATTAAAAATAAGAGCACAGTGATTTACATAAGACACCAATAAAGAAGAAACAAGGGGCATGATTTTGTTTACTGTAACAGGTTGTTCTTTTCGATAACCCATCTGCTTGACTCATTCCCAGGAGTGCACAAGTACTATGTGACTTCTCAAAGCACAGCAGATGAATTTGAGAAGATCCAGCCCTATGACTGTGCTTGGGATAAAGCTTCTGAGAGAAGCTCCAGCTAAGGCTCAAAAGAACAATTTCTGGGCCCTGGAAGGAGCCACACACGCCTCATTTACACTGAGGCAAACTAAAGAAAACTGCAGATACCACACCAATGCTCAAATATGCTTTGAAAAACAATAGAACGTAAAGAGGCAATGACACTGGGCTGCTCTGGGATGCCTGGGAGAGAACCCACTTATTCTACACAAGGAATTCTTTAATGTAAAGATCTGAGTCGGTTATGGATATAAAGATTCCAAAGCAAGTTTAGATGCTCAGTAAAACAAAACTTCAGCTGGCTGTGCCTGCTTGTAAGATTTCTTCAATATTGTTTTCAGTATCAGCAAATTATTTCTATTTTAAGGGGGAACAATTCTCACCTCTTAAGCCCATTGCCATATTGTCCAATGAACTTCAAGGTTGATAACCGTTTCTTGGATGTTCCAAAGTAAATGATGTCTGGGACTTCATCTGAAATCGACAGAAATCTTAAGGCAGTTAGGAATGATCTGTTATGAGTATTGAGTTCAGCTGTCAGAAGTTCACCCATTTCTCAGAACGTTAGGACAAGTCCATAGCTTTTGAGACAGACCACTGGCAAGGATTAGTGTTAAGACCCAGAATCATAGAAAAAGATCCTCATGGTAATGTAATGAAGGTCTGACAGACATAGCTGTGTGACCTTAAGTACAGTTTAAAACTGTTAGCCTTCACTTCATTGCTTTTAAGAGGAATGTGCTAACACCACAGTTATGATAAAGAAATGAAACGAGCAGATGTATCTATAAAATGCTTGGCATGCTATCTGAAGGATAAGTGTTAATGTAAATGTCTCAGTTGTCTACAAGACACTAGCCTTCTCCTGGGGTTGCTTAGGGTTAGGGTTCAGGTGACATTGAAGACAGAGGGATTTCCCTGCTGCTGCTCCCTGGGGAGGAAGGAGATTCAGACCTGTAGATTCACTGTTCTCATCTCTCTATTCCAGATCCTGGGAAGGAAACCTCTGAACTTCAGAATATGAAATCTCCCAATTATAAATTCTCTTCCTACTAACCTGCCAAGTACAGCTTAACGTTATGGGGGGGAGGGGACCTTGGGCCTATGTGGGCACAGACATGCTATAGTTCAGCATCAATCGAGTGAGATATTTAAAGGCCACTCCAGGATATTAGTCTGGAGCTAAGGATATTTGGCCACATATTCTCATAAGCTAGTAGGCCACAGGTGAAGTGTCCATGATGAGATTAACCAGTATTTATTGACAGTTTCCTATGTATTAGGAATGTTATACACTCCACATGCACTTGCTACTTTACATTTACACTTACAGGAAGACATTAAGATCTGTATTAGTGAAGTGGTAGGGAAAAGTCGAGGAAATACGAGATCATGTCCGAGAGGACTAAGTGACGTGACAGAGAACCAACGAAGTCAGTCCTTCAGATACAACAGTTAGGAAATGGCACTGAGGGTCCAGCCAGGTATGGCTGGAGTTCAAGAAAGTGGCTACTCCAAGAAAAGTCCCAAAAGGTAGGTGGGGCCAAGAGTAAGACACCTCATGAGACACTGACAGAGAAGGAAGGGGGTCCGAGCCTTACGCTGAAGCACTGGGCACTCACTGAGTCTTCAGCCAGAGAATGACAGGAGCATTTGCAATGAAGTCCTTATCACAGGAAATAACACTATCCCTGCACAGTATTAGAACTGTGATAGCTTGTGTTAACTTTAAAGACACAAGCTGATCTAAATTGTGAGTTCCAACCAGTCGGAACTACATGATGAAACTGTCTCAAAAGAAAAACAAAAAGAAACCAAAGATAAAGTCATGCAACATAGTGCAGACACATTTGGTATGGAGACTGTGGAAGATGGGAGAAAGAAACATCCTGGCACCACTACGGTCTTCTTCTATGGGACAGGAGGGTTCTGGCTCACTTGAGTCCACAGATAAGTTGTATTTTCAGTCACATATGATAAATTTTTTCTAACGTATTACTTAATTTCCAACTGTCTTAGTAAGGATTTCAATTGCTCTACTAAAACACCATAACCAAAAGCAACTTGGGGTGGGGCTTTATTTTGCCTACACTTCCACATCAATCCATCATCAAAGAAAAGGAGGACAGGAACTCAAGGCAGGAACCTAAAGGCGGGAGCTGTAACAGAGGCCTTGGGGGAATGCTTGAGACTGACTTGCTTACCCTGCTTTCTTCTACTATCTACAACCACCCGCCTATGGGTGGCAGCATTCCCAGTGGTCCAGGAACTCCCAAATCAGACATTAATCAAGAAAACGTCCTATAAAAATATCCACAGGCAGTGTTATGGTGGCATTCTCTCAATTAAGTTCCCTCTTCCCTGATATGTCTAGGCCTGTGTCAAGCTAACAAAAACCAACCAGCACACTAAGGATATACACCATTCTCTGTTCTCTTATGCAGAACCCAGATCTAAACACATGCATAATACACATGTATATTACATCAGAGTGGGTGAGGTAAAATACAGAGGGAGAAAAGGACCAACTTGAGGGAGAAAGGTAAATAACTGGGGATGATGAGAGGTAAAGCGTACACACACAATGATATATATACATGAATGAAAATGTCATTAAGAAATGCACTAACGTGTATGTTTACTAAATAAGTCAGTGAAAGAATAAACATAATAAAACAATCCTCTTTAAAAGAGCTTTTCTTGCCGAGTGGTGGTGGCGCACGCCTTTAATCCCAGCACTCTGGAGGCAGAGGCAGGCGGATCTCTGTGAGTTCAAGGCCAGCCTGGTCTACAAAGGGAGTTCCAGGACAGGCTCCAAAGCTACAGAGAAACACTGTTTCGAAAAAAAAAATAAAAATAAAAATAAAAGAGCTTTTCTTTCAACAATACTGTTTTTTCTCCTATGTACAAATGCTCCTTGATTCCCACTACAGAGTTACACATATCCCAATTAACCCAGGATAAATTGAAAATATCAAAAGGAGAATGTGTGTGGGTCGGTGGGGCATTTTCTAAACTAGCCCATTGGCTACGGGAAGTAAGCGGTGACACCAAAGCTACAAAGGGACGTTAACTGCTTCACGTATGCCCGCAGCTTCTCTGCAAACCATGGCCGCCCTTTCCTCATGTGTGTGCCCAGTCTGCTTGGAATTCATCACCACTTTCTAAGCAGAGTGATCAGAACCCTAGCTGAAGACACCTAAAGCATTATAAGAAGTCCAGTTTAGATTCAAAACAACCCATGGTCAGGATCAGAAGACGTATCTTTTCATTTGCCCAGAGTCTTCCCTGTACACCCACGAGGTGTCAACTGAGGCTACCCTTAGATGCACAAAGATAAACCCTGAGATCTATTATGGATGTATTTGCTATGATGGGAACATTCCGTCAAAGCAACTAACCCTCTGAAACAAGAGGAGGAAAATACCCGCAAACTGCTAAAAACAAGGAGAAACAACCTCTCTCTCAAGGTTATGCAGAAAATTAATAATAGCCTAAAGGCATTGGCAATTGCCTCAGGGCTCCTGCAACTAACAGGTAAAAGAGGAGCAACAAAAGAGTCTCAGATTCTATTCAGTTACTATTTGTAGTCTGTTCATTCCCAGGTGCTTTTGTCTTACAAGCAGAATGATTTGTCTTTCATGTGCTTTGACTATAGCATGTACAGTCATTGTGCGTCTTGGTTTAGATGGATAAAAAGAATTTATTTTGCCTGCTAGAATATTTAACCCTAAAATATTCCAAAACAAGTTGTCCAACATGTATTTCCCTTAATTGCTCCATATCTCTGTTTGGAATAGATAGTTCAATTTATTTTTATTTATTTTGTGGGCTTGCAGGCTGCCTCCTTCCACCGCCAGTTAGGTACCTGGATAATTAACTTACCAGGACTCATGCCACATCCGTCATCCAGGAAACACAACATGAATCCTCCCTGCAGTGTTTCATTCTCCACTGTAAGGGAAAGCAGTTAGTCTTAATAAATATTGGGCTTAATGTGTTCATCCGAAAATCACGCTGCTCCCATAATTATTCGTCCTCCTCCATGGCAGGCATGGAGCCCCAGGTATGAAATAGAGATGGGCTGGGAAGGGAGTCTGGGCTATGGCTTCCTCAGAAACTGCAGGGTGAAAACCATCACATAGCAAAAAGGATTTAAATTAACACGCAACCTCTGCAGGTGAGTAAATTATGCATACAGCAGGACAGGCCCTGCTTGGAACCTGGATTGATCCTTACATTCAGGTAGTAATTTTCCCAGAGGAGGAGGGGGAGTGATAACCACGAGAAGTGACCCCAGGATCTCTCTGTCTTCTTGCTCTTCCCTTATGCCCTTCCAAGACTGCAGTAATTCTAAAATAAATCTGAGCCCTTCTTAATAAAATTCATCAGGCTCCCTTCTAAGTAGTTAATCCCTCTGAGAGCCTTTGGTGAGTGTTTCTTCACAACAGCAAATATCTGTTTCTGGAAACGGTTGAGTCACTAGAAGTCAATTTTGATGATGAAGAGAGCCATTAAATTACATAATCTAAGCTACAGGTTAAAATGTTAAAGGGCTGACCAAAACTAATGAATCTAATTTCAGCCTGCAGTCTGTAAACCAGTTCTGAAACTAATTTCAACAGCTGGATGTGAGTACTAACACATTGCCTTTTTAAATAATAGTGCTATTGATGCGTAACATATGGACAATAAATAAAATATGCTTAAAGTATATAATTTGACTAATGCTTATGTATTTGTAAAAACATCACAATCCAAGCAAAAAACACACCCAGCACCTCAAATACTTCCTCCTGACCTTCTGTAATCCCTCCCCCTTCCACACCTGATCACCCTGACCTAGTCCTCAGACAATCATTGACATGTCTTCTGTTGTCATGAATTACATTTTTTAGCATATAAATCAACCTATGTATTCAAAGTTCAATTAGAACTCACATTTAAAATTGAGGCGATGCTCAAGGTAGCCAATGTAAAAATATCTAAAAGATGCACCTAGTTGTATTAGCCCACTTTTGTGACTATAACAAAATGCTTGAGGCTGGATAATTTGTGAGGGGAAAAATAATTATTCATTTCATGATTATGCAGGCCTAAGAGCACAGTGCCATTTTCTGCTCAGCTCTGTGAGGGCTTCATGGTACACCAAACGCCAGTACAAAGACTGAATGCAAGAGCATGCCAAACAGAGTGACCAAACGGCAAGACAGGTGACCAGAAGCCCAGAGTCAAACTTCATGACAACCTACATACAACAACATTAATGTCTTTGGAGGATGAAATCTCCAATGCTCTAATCACCCCCCCACTAGGGATCAAAGTCCCAACATCTCTCAATGTCACCCACTGATGACTAAGTGTCTAAGACAGGAGCATTCAGAGGACAAACCACATTTAAACCATAAACTATCTGGGGAGGGTCCTGGTAATGTGACCTCATACTCATGATAACAGCTGTTCTTCCTTGCTCTTTGTCCATCCAGGACTAAGAAGTGCATGGCCCAGGACGTGACTGAGCCTTAGCAGCTCTCAGTAGCCACCGCTAAATCTGAAGATTTTAAAATATAATAACTCACGGGAGAACCCAGAAGACATGATACAAACAGTTTAGAAAGACCATGATTCCCAAGACAGACACACTACAGATATATAGTACCAAGGGCTTAGGGGTGAGCAGATGTGACCTCAAAATCTAGGCATCCCTACTACCCACACAGAGATAGCCTTACCTCACTCTCCTAAAGCAGTCAGTCCGGGGCTAGAGAGGTGTCTCGGTAGTTAAGAGCACATAGTGTTCTTGCAGAGGACCTGTGTCTTGGTCCCAGCACCCCCATCAGGAAACCCACAGTTGTCCATAATTCTAGCTCTAGGGGAACCCAACATTCATTTCCATATTCTGCGGGTGCCTTCACTCACATGCGCAAACCCACACGCAGAGAGACGTGCATACAAACGCAATTTAAAAACAATAAAAATAAGTCTTTCTTTAAAAGCTATGGGGCTCAAGTTCCTATCACCTAATAATCATGTATTTCCCAAAGCAAACACCATTATCATTTCCACAAAACTTAATCCTTTCTGCAGTGTTTGCTGTTTGCACTGGACTTTGGCCAAGTCAGCACTTCAGGACTACTGAGTTTCCACTCCTCCCCGACCTGGACACGGGTCCTCAGCATCCTGGTCTTCTTCTCACGGGGATTAGCTGACTCTATTCTGATGTATTGATTTCACTTCGACAGTCACTATCTCTTTTCTGGGAGACAGCAACAGCTCCCTAACTTCCTCCCTTAATCACAATATGCAGCCCAACTTTAGCCCGCTGCACACATCACTCCTGCTAAAATCCTGCCCTGACTTCCCAGAGCTCTCAAGAAAAAATCCAAATGAACTATAGAAATGATCCCTGAATCTTCGAGCTGATGAGAGAGGGGGACTTGATCGGGGGAGGGGGAGGGAAATGGGAGGCGGTGGCGGGGAGGAGGCAGAAATCCTTAAATAAATAAATAAATTTAAAAAAGAAAAAGAAAAAAATCCAAGCCACAGGGCAAGTCACGCTTCTCTGTCATGGCTTAGTTTTCCAACTTCAACCTTCATCATCTCCTCAATTGACCACAATGCCAGACAAATATGTTCCCTGAAGTAATCTTGAATATCTCCTAAGTGAATTATGACATATTCCCCTGCCCTTGTCTGATCCACCAGCTGGCATTGACTCTCCTTTCGGAAAACTTGGTGTAAGGTTTTTTTCTAAGAGTGTCATAAGGTACCTGAATGGTCTCTTTCTATGGTGTTTTTTTCCCCACTGTGATCATCTAACCCTGGTGTTGGACCTGCAAGTGCATTTACTCTCTCAAAAGACTACAAACTATATCCGAATATTATGTCTCAGCGACAGAGACTCATATTTTCATTTATTTCTCAAACTTTTCATAATTTGAATAGGAAGACTGAAGAGAGTATCATTTATTATGCCTTGGGGTTTCAACATCTACCTATCTCATGGACCCTAAGCACTCATCTTAACACATTCAGAAAAGAGAAGTGATCTGAGACACCTTTTGCACAGAGATGGAATCACATTATGTATGGACAATATTCTCTCCCGTGTGATCAAAACTAACAGAAGGTTGCGTGTGTTGGTGTAGAAAGGCAGCATTAACTGCATCACAGAAACTAATGTCGTTAGCATCATAATCTACCAAGACTTACTAATAAGTGCACAAAACGCTGAGGGACCACAAATGGAGGCAATAAAGAAAATACAGTGGGTCTGTGGTTGTAACACTTAGATAATTATCTGTACTACATATCCACTTATGCATTTTAAACTATGGGAAGAAAAAAGTGATGTATGCTTAATCATGAACAACGATTACGTTAACGCGACTTTTAAAAGAAAACTGCTTTCCATGGCCAAATTCACGGCTCCAAATCACTCAAATGTTTCCACAGGACTCTAGAAGAGATCATTTTGTAAATGGGCCTTCGGGTAAGTGAGCAATTTGACCCTCGGAGTATGCATTTCTCAATCTGGCTCCCCACAGGGACACTGTTCGTGAAGCACTTAGATTACATTAAAAATCTATAGAATGTGGTGTGATTTGATGAAATAGAATAAAAGTAAAGTAGCTATAGGCTTTTCTTTAGAAAGAAAAACAAGAAAGGAAATGTGTGCTCACCTGAAAACACATCAAGTCGCAAAGCCCCAGCATCTCTGGAAACAATGCAAAAATAACATTACTTCACAGAAAAAAAATGTGCCTTAAAAATAACATTAATCCCAATAGCTTATGCAAGGTGTAACCTATTATCAGATATCAAACAATACAAAAGTCATAAATCACTTAAGATCAATTTCTAAGACGGTTCACTGTACATTTATATAGAAAGAAATGCCATCACCCATAATTTGGGATTATTACAAAAGCTATGACTTAGTAACTTAAAAGACTAGCGATGAAATTTAGTGGTAGTTATTTTTTTAAAAAGGTTCAAAAATGAGTATAAATATAGTGTTTATATTTTAAAGACTTCCTGGAGAATAATACAGAACCATAGAATGATTTTCATGATATATCCCAATTCAAAAACTGAAAATTCAGAAAAGGAAAATTACTGTCATTTGTACCATGTGACCATATATTTAAAGGATATATATATATATATATATATATATATATGTGTGTGTGTGTGTGTGTGTGTACATGAGTTCCTTTGCAATGGTGGAGGTGGAGCCCCATATGTACTGGGAAAATACTTTACCCATCCCTTAAAAAGTTAATAAAGGATTTCTCTAGACTGCAAGTAGGCAAACTATTGACTACGGATGAAGTCTGACTCACCAACTGTCTTATAAATAAAGCTTTATTAGAACACAATCGTACTTGTTCATATTAGTACTGGCTATGGTTTTCTTAGCCCTACGTTGGCGGAACAGTCATTTCAGCGGAGACTGGACAGCCTTCAGAGACAAACAGATTTATTTTCTGACCTTTCACAGAGAAGAGTTCTGATTCCTGCTCTATGAGATGCAATTACCAGTGATTTTTCTGCTCTTTCTTTTTTCCCCTTATTTTCTCAGTTTTTAAAATACATAGCTATTTCTTATATTTCAAGATTTATAGAAGTAAAAAAAAAAAACATTAGGCAAAGGAGGAAGGGCCCCAAGATTCTGGCTTCCATATTGGGAGTGAGAGAAGAGACACAGACCATGAGGTCTTAGCTGATAAGGAAGAATGCGTGCTAAGGAAGAGAGAGTCTGTGAGGAAGGAGGGGGCTAGGAAACCTGTGCAGATGCTCTTGTCTACACACATAGTCAAAGAGGAGACTGAGTACTGTAGCTGGTATAACTAGTGATGGAAAACCATGTCCCTCCCAAAATATCTATCAGTCTCAAACCATAAACGACACCAAATAAACTGAGAGGCAGCACACTGCATTCACTCTGCTAGCCTGGTGGAGAGCTGCTTTTGCTTTTTCCTGGAGCTAAACATACTTTAAAGGTACCGTTATATAGAAATTCTGCAAGAATCCCTGCCCTTTTTTAGGGATTTCCTACCCATGAAACACACACTGAATGGAATATTGAGTTTTGAAAAGTCTCTGCTATTCCTTGACTACAATCCGGTATGCAGGTACCAATGTTTCCACTATACCATTGTGCCTTTTACTAAGAACCGTGGACACATTAGGTGCTCAGTAAATGCCATGGTACTGAAGTCAAAAGTTTGCTGGGTTTGTTGTTTGGTGTTGCCTTTTTGTGTGTTAAATATCTAATACAGGGCCAGGCACATGAGAACAAATATTCTACCACTGAGTCTCCCAGCAGAAATGGAAGACTTTTAAAGAAACAGTTTTGTTTATAGAGGATGCCCACTAGGTATTTTATATAGTTTCTGCCTCTGCAGATGTCCTCTTTGGATCATCATTGCACTAGGACATCTCCAGCAGTCCCTTCCTATGTTACTGCCCTTCCTCCCTCCTTATACAATATTCTTTTATGATATGTAAATCCTACTCTTTACACACACAGGAAATCACCGACATCTTGAACATAATGTAAAATAATTTATTAGAGTAACAGGGAAGCATACAAAAACCTTCAGAAGGCTGATGGGGAATCGTAAATAAAATGTTAAAAGTATATTTTCTTTTGATGGAAAATGCAGCATCTAAGCAAGGGTGGAAAACAAAAGTGTCTGCCAAAGCCAGGGGGAAAAGGCCAGTGTGGGATGTCTGGGGCAGAAGGGAATAAAGCAAGGCTGAAGGAACAGCCAGCCCCGAGAAGATACTTGCCACCACTGTTCTCTATCCACTGAGCCCCAGAGGAATGGGATCTAAAAAGCCCCACTACTGTAGATGACCTGGACCTTTCTTTTTAATTCTGGTCTTCCTTCTCTTGATTCTATTCAGAAAGAGAGAGAGAGAGAGAGAGAGAGAGAGAGAGAGAGAGATTGCGCATGTCCACATGTGGTGCATGGTGGGTGTGCAAGCGCATGTTACATGTGTTCGGGCAAGTGAAGTTTGGAGGAAACCTCAGATGCCATCTTCATCAACAATATACATCTCTTTCAAAAAAAAAAAAACTTATCACCAATTAGGCTAGACTGGAGGAATCCTGCTGTTTCCTCCTCCTCTTTAGCATGGGAATTACAACCGCACCTTGGAACCAAGCATTGTTATGTGGACTCTGGAATCCTCTTGCTCGCAAGGCAAGTCCTATTACTGAACACGTTCCCTGCACCCCTGGCCAGCTGCCTATTGCTACTTGGACCTTCTTATCTTCCTTTTCTTTCTAGATTCTGCAAACTTTCAGACATGGGCTGGAAGTGGCCACACCATGGTGTTGGAGGTTCACCAAGGCAACTCTGAACTGTTTTCAGTCAGAATCTAGTGGGGTGGGGTCTCTTTGTAGGGGCATCAGCCACGAGAAATTACAGAGAAGCCAACCATGGTGATTCTTGGTCCTGGCCCCATCCCTCTTAACTCCTGACTTGAATTCAGTGCCCCTTGGCTGAAGAACAGATTGTTACTTTCTTATTTTGCTTTCTACCTTAGAGAGAGAAAGTGCTAGCAGATTTTCCCCTTTGGTGCTGGGAGGAATTCTCAGGTAGCTGGCTAATTACTGCTCTCTGTGTGTGCTCTCGGAAAGACCATCTTATTTCTAAGGTTCAAAATGAGAGACAAAACTCAAGAAGCTGATATGTTATCAGCTAGTGACAGGGAATTTAGCTACCCCATTAAGAGTCTCCATCTGACAACATTAGGCTGTGTCTTGGGTAGACTTTGCCACAGAGAAGGTAAAAGCAATTTTTCGTTAATAGAAGAATAGAAATATAATCAAGTCAGTATTCAACTAAGCTGAGAAAATGGAGACCTGAGCTAGGTGCGCTGGTGTGTTTCCACAATCCCAACACGGAGACAAGAAAATCATGAATTTGAAGCCAATCTGGACTCTACAGGAAGCTTGGGGCAGCATGGGATGCATAACAAGACCTTGTCTCCATGACAGCATAGACTATGGGTGCTGGAGTGACCAGCGGAACCTTCCAAATCAGCACCTCACATCCATAATGACCTCACGCCACTGGAACCAGGGCTCAGCATAAGTTGATTTCAAACATAAATAGATTATATTTGTTTCTTGAAATTCCCTCCATCTTTGTTCAGAGACAGCTTACCTTGCATTGTCCAGCAGCTCAGCCAGTGCTCCAAAGAGGAAACTGTGAGTTGTGCTGATGGGGAAAGAAAAGGAGAAGAGAAAGGTGAGGCAGGTGTGTAAGCAGAGTAAGGTTTAAGATATAGGCAAATGTTCTTCCAGCACTTGGAGGGCTAAAGGGTGATCTGTGGGTGAACTCAGGCTCCCTTCAGGGTAAGGAGCTTGCTTTGCATTTCCCTACGTGGACATTTCACACATCAACATTAGCACACCATTAGGGGAAACCTAGCTTGCAAGTTTCTCTTTATGTGTAGATTTGGTTCCCCACACCCACACTGGCTGCTCTAAGTGCCAGTAATTCTAGTTCCAAAGGGGTCTGACACCCTTTTCTGACCTCCCTGGACAAACAAAAGACACAAGTTCAAAATATATATATATATATATATATATATATATATATATATATATTGGTTTTCTGAGACCGGGTTTTTCTGTGTAGCCCTGGTTGTGCCAAAGCTCAATCTGTAGACCAGGATGATCTTGAACTCAGAGATGCACCTGATTCTGCCTCCTGAATGCTGAGGTTAAAGGCGTGTGCCACCACACCTGGCTATTTATAGTATCTTGGGAGTTAAAATTTAGTATATAAGCAACCTGAGGAAATCACAGTAATTCCAGACAAACATTATAATACTACACTATGCCACTGGCTCTTCAAAGTGTAAAATTTCTGACCCAAACTGCCATGAGAATTTCTGTGCTAGTTAATTCAAGAGAATTTTGTAAGTGTTTGACATGTTCCCCCACAGAACCTTTTTGGAATTCAAGTCATGATTGAATTCATGACGGAGGTCATGGGGTACAAAGAACACACAGGAAGCACATGAAGACAAAGCCAGCCTTCCAGACCTTGGGCAGGGCTACCTTCACAGTAGAACAAAGAGTGCCTGCAAGGGAGAGGCAGATGGTCACCAAAGACACTCCTCCATCTAACCCCAGAAGATGAGAACTCACCAAAGACACTCCTCACCGGTGATGCCTCATCTGACCCTGGAAGATGAGAACTCTATGCTTTAAAGGGCCAGAGTGGAAACTCTCCAGATGGGCAAAGATCTCAAAGCAGAGAAGAGTGACAGAGACCACACTAGACATTTGATGGATACAGAGACCAGGCTAAAGTGACGATATGTCTGAGTCATAGGGAATTCCTGCTGCAGCAAAGAAGGGCTTGTACAAGCCTGTATGCAAGTGGCTAACACCAAAGTATGTTCTCATGAATGGCCTTTCTCTCTGGTTCATTTTGCAAAAGCCCAGCCTGGAAGCTTAGAAAATACAGGCTTAGGAGGAGCTGGGGTTGGAAGCACAACACCAGTTAGGAGGTTATGTGGGGGTGGTGCAGATGAGAGATGATGCGGCTTGGGCCGAAGGCAACGGCAGCAAGGATGAAAAGAAGAGTTGCGTGCCTTTGAGAAAGCATGTGCTTGACTGTAGGGCTGGTTCTAGGATGTGTAGACTGGATATTGAGCGTAAAAAAAAAAACAGAACTTGAGAGGCTGTGTCAGGAGGATTTCAAGTTTGAGACCACTCTGAGTTCCACAGCAAAATCCTATTTCAAAAAGCAAGCAAAAATATTTTAGTCCCGTTTTTATGGATGGAGATCTACCAGGGAGTTGAGAAGATGCCATCAGTCTGTTGCAGAATTGGGGTGGCATCGTGCTGTCATTATCTTTGTCATTCTGTCAACCAGCTGAAAACTGAGCTGCGGTCGTTGGTATCTCGGGGTAGGGTGTGGGAAAGTCGAGCTGGGACTTACAACAGCAACCACAAACTGAACACAACGAAGGTGGGGTGCTCCTCCACCATAAAACTCAGTCTCTGTAGCTCTGGCTCACACTTCTTGAACTTACTCCAAACTGTTTCATTCGTCCTTAAGCTACTGGACCGGTCCATTCTCCACGGCAGATAAATATCTGCTTGATATCACCTACTCTCTGCTACCTTAGAAGCACGCAGACTGTCCTACAGAACACAGCTGCCCTTCCCGGCTTTCTCAATACCTCCATCCCATTCAAACATGTTCCAGCCATCATATCAGTCAATACTTTCAGGAAATACAAATGACTAAGTAATTTCTAAACACCAAACACCCCATATGAATTGCATAACACTCTCTGCGGCCCTGTGCCGAACTTGAAGTGACAAATGACACAAAAACAAACAAACAAAAAAAAACCCCGCAGTCTCTTGCCCCTGCAGTCTGACTGCAGTAGCCTTCCCTCACCCATGGTTTGGCTCTCTCTGGGTTTTATTACCCGTAGTTTCACTCCAGAAAATATTAATTGGAAACTCCCAGGAGTGCGTTAACCGTAACTTAAGTAGGGAACCAATCTAAGTCTCATCATGACCTTGCTTTGCTCCATTTCATCGTGGTGTGTGGTTGTAACTAGTCTATATTATTGCTCCCTACCTCCTTCATCAACTGTATGGCAAACACATATGCATTGGAGGAGCTAAAGATATAGCAACATATACAGGCTTTTATCTTCATCTGTAGTTCCATAGCACCCCGATGTCTAAACATGCACTTGGGGAAGCTGTCAATAGCCATAGTTAAGAATGGACTATACTATTTCTTTCCAATGTTTCATTTTGTGTGTAAAGGTGTTTTGATGCATGAACATCTGCATACCACAGTGCATGCCTGGTGCTTCGGAAGTTTGGAAGGTGGTGTTTGGAGTTACAGAGGGTTGTGAGCCGTCCAGTGGAGGCTTTACATTGAACCCAGGTCCTCTAGAGATGCAGCCAGTCCTCCCAATTGCTGAGTCATCTCTCTAGCCAGACTGTACCGTTTCAATTAGCAGTTAGTAAGAGGGTGCCAAAGAAATCTGACCCTGGCAGAAAAGAGAAACTAGCCGAATATTGTCCACACATGGGAACTACTCTGTAAAGCAACATGGCTATTTACAGTGTCTCCCAGAGCATTGGAACAAGAACAGAAAAGATGGGTAGGTGGTTCTAATCTGCTGGCCAACATTTAAATAGACTTATTAAGTGATAAAGGTGGGGCCATCTTTCCACTTGGTTTTAACTGAACGATTCAGTCCTCAGGAATAGCGTTATTACTTTCCCTGAAAGAACTACACGCAGTATAAATACATTCTTAAATCTGTCCTACTAAGTTCATTAGGCTTTTGTTTTCCAATTGAATATGAAAAACTACCCCATTCCGACCCCTCCTGGACTCACGAGTTTGCGTGGATGAAATCCAGATGTAGCTTAGCCCTCTGCAGTGAGGCATATTTGCTCATTTTCTCAAACACGACCTGTGGACACCAGAAGACACTGACGCCTGGTAGGAAACTGTATGCCCACACCCACGCCTACGCCCACGCCCACGCCCACGCACTGGCTCACTTGCAGAACAAGAGCTCGAGAGAGAGACGCATGCGCCGTCTGGAGTCCTCAGCATGAAGCCAACCTTGTGCTATGGTTCCTCTCTGGGAGGGTCTTGGTTTGGTTTGGTTTGGTTTGGTTATTTTGAGACAGAGTTTCATTTCATGGTCCTGAGTATTCTGGAACTATGAACACCAGGTTGACCTCAAACTCACAGAGATCCACTTGCCTCTATCTCCTAAGTGCTGGAATTAAAGGCCTGTGCCACCATGCTAGCTAGGCCTTCCTGGGAGGTTCTTGATTACTGCTAGTCTGCATCTAGCTTGGTTTCTTTTCAGATTGGAAATGGATCAGAACTGAGAACTCTCACCCTTGTCCCCTCCCTTCCTCTTTACTTCCCTCCCCCAAATCTGGTTGTGAACATGGATACAAGGCATGAGACCTAGGAAAGTAAAATCGTCTCTTCTTGCTTGAATGGCCCACTTGCACTCTTGGGTGTCTTGGGTATAAGTATGTTTTCTACATTGCGAGAAGGAGAAGCAAACAAAGGAGAGAACAGGTGACAGCGGAATTTAGACTGGCTGCAGTGTGCAGGCCTGGCCCTCTGTGTTAGCAGCTCTTGCCACCTGGAGGAATAGCAAACATATTCTGTTTGTCACACCTGCAAGCAGCTATTTGACGTGCTGGCCTGTGTCCAAATTCTGTCAGCATACTCAACAGAGCACTGAATTCTGAATCACCAAAACCCAAGAGGAAGCAGCAGCATTTGTCAAGGGCACTGGAGAGACAGGGATAGGCTAGGAGGTGACTGGACCTCTGACCTCTGTAATGTAGTCAGACTGATTCAAAGGCTAAGGCTATTCGGCTTGAAGACTAACATGGTTCAGTTCTACTTGGCAAACATTCCGTACCCTGTTCTCCGAGTCAGAAAGACAAGTCTATTGAGCAGAGAGTCTGAAGTAGGTGTTTTGTGATTTCGAAGTGTCATGCGGGCAATGAAGACCTCAGAAAATAGAAGCAAAAATGGTAAATGTGTAGCAGCCACCCTGCTTAGAAGGAAGGAATTCTTTTCAGCCGCTGCATTTATAGGAATCCGGGGAGGAAGCGAGCATTTGAATTGCAACCCAGAGGAACACGATGCTCCGCGTTAATTTGAAGACTGGAAGTGAACGTAAACATCTCAAGTCATTTCTCCTGATTACATTTTTGTGTTTGCGGTGGCTGGCGTGGCTGGTGCTGTCCCAATAGCCACATTTTCTTTACTGAGCAACCTAAATTATCTTCCCAAATTTTTCTTCAGTAGAACCTCACAGATGATATTTTACTTTCGGTTTTATGAGATAGAAAAGCTCAGCGAGCCTCTTCCAGATTTGTTTTACAGTTCCAATTTTCAACTGCTGTCTCAAAGAAACTTGCTTGAGGGGAGGGGGGCACCGGAGCCACTAGGCTGTAATTAGTAAAGGCTGTAATATCTACTGGCGGAAAGGATACAATTATCACAGAATCGGTCCTTCTAATAATCGAAAGCAGAGCCTTCTTGCCATCAGTGGCCAGCCCTAAGCACCAGGCAGTACTGGAGAATGTAGAGAGTGGAGATGGGCTGGGCATGTGGATCTGTTAGGTTATGCTAATTAAGAAGCCTGGAGTTACAGTACACCACCCCAAAAACCCCTCCTCCTCCCT